AAAAAAAAAAAAAAAAAAAAAAAAAAAAAAAAAAAAACAGTTATAGTGTGAGAATCAGCTTGCATATTCTCCTCCTAAAATCATACAATGTCTTAATGTTACTTCACAGTATGGTGCATAAAGCTAGATTTCCACGTCCACAGCATAAATAAGGAGGGCATGCTTCCTAGTCTATAAGGCTGATGCAACTGCCCAGATTCAGAAAATAATGCTAGAGCTGTGACAACTCCATCCTTGAGACTGCCTGTAGCTGTTCATACTGCAGTCTCAACTTGGTATACCTTCAATGAATATACAAATGTGCCTTTATATATGCAAACCTGCATCTCTTCCAAACTAATATATCTATACCTTTTCTTGCTTCCTAAGAGATACAAGTTCTATACCCAATACATTCAGTTACATCCAGCTTGGGAAGTTTAATGGCAACAGAATTTGGATCAGTAGAGGAAATCCAAGAGAAGGGCTAGACTAGACTGCAATTGCTTTAAATAAAAATAACCTGGTGAGTAAGTTTTCTTGAAAAGCAGTCAAAGCAGAAGACTTGCAGTTTGTGAAGCATATGGCTGTAAATGCTGATTTGTATCTACTGGTTACTGAGGATTACATCAAGAAGCTATGTGTGGTACATCTACATTAGGTGCATAGGGCTGACCCTGAAGATCACCCTCAAACCAGCCTAAGCCATGTGTGCTACCCCTCCCAATCTATTTCTTAACCAGCAGCCCACAATGAAGCTGTAGTGTAAGTGGATTTTTGTTCCTTTGTTCCTCAGTACCAGTTTGCCCACTACCTGTCTCCTCCTATAGTTGCCTCTGAGGGCAGTAGAAGCAAAGATGAAAGGACCAGACATCAGGAACAGGAAGTTGTGGGATTGTTATTGCTGGTCTTCCTGAGTCTGCAGCCTGTTTGGGTGAATTCCAGACACCCTGCAGGGAGATGCAGACAAGGAAGGGGATCAAATCTCAGCCCAATATTTAGCAAATCTTCTAGGATCATGCTGGACTGCTGCAGGGAGCAAAGTATAGAGATTTCACAGAAGATGATCTGCAAGTATAGGCTTGAGTTTGACCCAAACCATCAGTATAAACATAGCCTGACAGATTCAGTTAACAGAGATTAGATGCTTATCTATACCACACAGCACTGAAATACTTAGTGATGAATCTATGCCAATCCACCGATCTCAGGTGCAGATGTGCAAGTCAGTTATAAATGGGAAGAGAAAGTAGATTCCACCTGCTCCTAAATCCATTTTAATTTTCACTGGTGTAAATCCAGAGTAATATAATTGACTTAAATATTCTACATTTATACCAGTGGAAAAACCAATTGAGAAGACTTCATGTTTATTTGAAGAGCATCTCACCATTTAACAGAAGCACACACCTATGATTAAAAAAATAAACCTGAACCCAAACGTACCAAATAGTTCTAACCCACAGCTGCGGCTTGTGCAATGGAAATATATTCTTTCCTTCAATCCATTTTACTTAATCCAGTTCACATGACACTTAGTCCACCCTCCCTTTGCAATGGAAGTGTCTCATTTGCAAGAATTTAGGATATAACCAAAACATATCTAATGGAGGAAGGAGGAGATACAAAGATAGGGGGAAATCAACTGTAATATAGCAAGGTGAGTAGTGGCAGAAATGTGCATTTCATGCCTCAGTGTGTGGTGGAGGCTTTTAACATAAGAAGATGGTACACATACCTTTTGAAGATCCCAGCAGATCTCTTGCTGCTTTGGAGAAGTCAGTGAGACTTACCTTTCCTGCTGTTTTTCAGTAACACATCCTCCTACCAGAGTTTCAAATTCATTGACAAGGGCACACACGTGCACTAGTGACATTTAGAAGCTGGTCACCTCGCCTGAGTCACTAACACTCAGATCAAACTACTGTCTGATTGCTCTGCATGGTTTCCAGCTGCCAGCTCTAAAGTGGCAAGGAATCTTCAATTAGACTCTGGAACCTGGCTTGTTGACACTTCAGAGCCTGCCTGAATTCATTAGCAGCAGTGTAACAAGGGCACTGCAACCCACTGGAGCTGTGAAGCCCCATACTTTAGGAACAAGAAAGAACAGTGTCCATAATCCCTTTAGAGCTCTCCACATATTTAAATGCAGCCAACTAGTTACAAAGCAATGTTTCTGCTGTGCTACTATAGCCTTTTAATGTGTTTTCCTTACCAAATCTAAGATGAATGAACTACAAGGTCACCACAAAAATAATGAATTAGGGCCCAGATTAAAGAAACGATAGGAAGACTTCCAGGACCAAATTCTGTTCTCATCAAGACTGACACAGATCTGGAGCAATTCTTCTGGATTCTGCACCAATCTGAGAACAGAGCTGGGCTCTTCCTTCCCCCAGATTTAAGGAGTGAAACATAAGAGCAGTTTCCCTGCAGCCAGCACATCCTCATGCTTGCAATAAGTAGTAGTGCCCTTCTTACACTGCCCCTTAGTTTGAGAGATACCTTCCTCTGGCACAGTGAAAGGTGAGCTTTCCAGCATGTGTGAATGCTTGGCAAAGCTGTGCTGAGAGGAAAGGGAGAAAAACCTCAGACAGTTGCCACACTTATCAGTGACTCATGGACAGTGTGACTTGGTGGTCTATGACAGGAACATATCAATAGCACCTACTATTAGCTTCATGGCTGCTGTCCAGGAGTACTACATTCTTAAATGTCCATATCGTGCAGAGAGTGATATTCTGAGCCTATCTAGTGGGACCAGTGGTAAGTAACTAGCAAGATCCTTGCTGTGCAAATTTAAAAAAAAACAGAACCAAAAAACAACAACAAAACCCAATTGAATTGTGCAGTAATGGTCCAGATGACTAGAACTCAAATCATGATACTTATAGCAGTATTCACTCATAGTACTGCACTGACTCCTATGCTGGACCACTACCAGAGAATGCTGCATTTTTTTTAAGAAGGGAACCTAGGGAGGCTGGCTCTGGGCCCAGCTGCTTCCTTTAGGCACCGACAAAGATGACTGAAGGGAAAAGGAGATTTACAAACAAAAAGAATAACTTTCCAATTTTTTCAACTTCATTAATAATTAAAGACCCTTAGGACAGATCTCTTGAGATGAGAATACTCGATGTACTAAGAGAGGGTCCAGCATTCGAAAAACAAACAAACAAAACAAAAAAACCCAAAACCAATTAAAAACCCCCCACACTCAATGTTACAGGTTTAATCTCCTAAAAAATCTTAGCCAAGCACTCTAACAGTCAGTAATCAAGTTTCCATATTTTCAGAAGGCAAACACTTCAGGGGCAGACAGCTTATGTAACCCAGAGCTGAGTGATCCTCAGTTATCTTTTTGCCAAAGAGGTTCAGAAACAATAAAGTTATACAATCCCAGAATGCTAATTTTTACTGAATTCTAAGTATTATCCAGCATGTGTAATTATGCGCAATATATGCAAATGCAGACATTCAATGATTATCATTAGATCTATTTGTTAATATGAGGGCAGAGTCAATAAGAATTTACATAAAACTAGATCTAAGAGAAAAATGATTTACTGGATCCTGGTCTTTTACATAGTTTTCCATGAAGCCGGTGGTTTCTCTTCATCATTGTGAATATTGTGTTCTGTTCACAATCCAGCATACAGCATTTTCTGTAGCCCCACCACACATACCTCCCAGCTTTCTTCAAAATATGAGAGCGGAAAAAGCTGGTACTCACGGTCATTGCACTGGCTGCCTGAATATGAAGTCATGGAGCAATCACAGGTGAAACCTTCCCACTGCTGATTACAGATGCCTTGATTAGCACAGGAATCTTCTTGGCAAGTGGTGCTTGGTCCTGGAGAGGGGATGAGGAAAAAGGGGTGGGAGAAAGTCAGGAGGAAAGTTTAATGGGCCAGGGACATGGTGGATTTATCATCATCAGCATCATGCAGAGAATAAAAGTAAACCAAAGACTTTTCCATTCTTGGACATGCAACAGAAATTCAGGGCAAACAGAAGACACAGAGAATTGCACACTCAGCAACAAACAGCAGACTGACACACAGCAGAAAAGAGGAGTGAACAGCAGCATATTCCCTCTTATACAGACTCAGTTATTATGCCTAGGGCTAGTATGCCTGTGGCAGTGCATCCAGGTCTCAGATGCCTCCCATCACACCCTAGCTACTTATTTCTGTCCATGCTTTCCAAACCCAGAAACATGCCAATAGAGCTGTTCCAGAGTCATCCAAAGCAGCCACTCCAAGGTCTCTCTGAGGTGTCAATTATGTCCACAAAGAAATTAGGAGAGGCATCCCACAGTGATCTCACAGGCATATTTCTGGGTTGGAGCATGTGAGTGGAAGTGGGCATGCTCTGAGGGTTTCTGCTGGATACGCTGCTGTTACATTGTAGACACACCTATCAGGTTAAAAAGAGAGAGTGGCTGAATACAGTCCCATTGGGACAAATTATTTAGGGCCCACATACAACCTACTAATAAAGCCCCCTAGCAGATAGAGCATGGCCAGCCCTGGTTTAAAGTTCATTACTTCACAACAGAGCATTCTCTGCTCTCTCTTTTACACTGCATTTCCCAACCAAGCTCTCTTTCATCACTGTGTGATTTGGAGGCATGGTATACATTTGCAATCCTGCTCAGATACACTTTCTTAAGTTGAGGCAGGTAAAAATCAGCAAAAGCAGGTTCCAGAAAAGAATAGTTCTCCAGTTTCTACTGACCCTGCCAGAAGGAAGTGCTTTCACAGTCAGTCACCTGACAGGACCTGCTAATGGCCAGGGTATATAGGAACACAGGACACGAAGGGACATCCTGGGATATCAAGTCCAGTCCTCCTTATTGCAGGTAATCACATCATATATTAGTCATGCTCCTCCTTAAAACTAATAGGTTTTTGGCACCCATCACTTCCTACTAGAAGAGAGTTCCAGAACCTCATTCCTTTATACCCATCTGTTCCTGTTCAACACTGTCCTGGAGTTTTTATAGCTCTTCTCCCTCCCCAGAGTTTATCCCTTTCTTCAATTAATTTCAGACAGCACTTGTATTTCTCTCTCTCGCTCAAGACTAGATGGATCTCTCATACGTTAGCCAAGATCTTTCAGTGTTCCATCTTCCAAATGATGGAATCTCACAAAATACAGCAACAGGCTTCCAAAAACTGTGCATGCATCATCTGTATTGAATAGTGGCTCCTGTGTCTATGATGAGTAGCTGACCTGATTTGGACAAAGGACCATGGGAATCAGATCTACTCTGTATTCCCAGCTCTGCAACTAACGTGCAAGGTGGCCTTTCACATGTCAGATCACTTCTCTGTGCCTTGGTTTCCCCCCTGCAAACACTGAGATAATACTGAACTCACCTTTGTAATGCACTCCTAAGCTTATGGTCAAAAACTATCGGGTATTATTTTATTAGATATTGTGTATCTAGACATTTGCATGTCACTCCTTTCATGCAGTGTTTGGAGGGATGCACACAATTGCTGATGGCACCCCTGGTAACTGCTGCCTTGACTTTGGAAAGGAAAAGTGAGGCTGGCAGTGAAATGCTGAATTAGCCATACTAGCCAAGGTCAAGCTATTAAACCACCTCTAAGTTAACCTTGAAAGCTATGGTGCCTTACATTAGACCACTGTCCTAATTGAAACTATTGGCCTCAATTAGTTGTCCTAAGCCTCAGAGCAATCAAAACCCTAATCAGTAGGTCTGTGCAAAGCTTTGGGTGGTGATTCAATTTGGAGCAGATTTGGCCTGATTCGGTGGCCAAATCTCTGAATAGAATCAGGGTTTAAAGGTCCAAATCAGTTCAAAGCTCTCCGAATCTTCGGGAAAAGATTTGGAGAGCTTTGATGATTTGGACAGTCCCCAGTAGCTGCAGCAGGGAGCTGCAGCTGACTCTGAGCTGGTATGTAGTAGGGGCAGGGGAGAGGACCATGGGGGGGACACCAGCCAGC